GTGTATATCTCAGTGTCTGTGTATGTATCTCAGTGTCTGTGTATGTATCTCAATGTCAGTGAGTGTATATTTCAGTGTCAGTGTGTGTATATTTCAGTGTCAGTATGTGTGTATATTTCTCAGTGTCGGTGTGTGTGTATATCTCTCAGTGTTAGTGTATATCTCAGTGTCAGTGTGTGTGTATCTCTCAGTGTATGTGTGTATATTTGTGGCATGTAAATAGTGTGTGTGTGTGTGTATATCTGTGTGTGTGTATATTTGTGCTAGTTTATATAGCAGTGTGTGTATATCAGTGTATGTGTGTATATTTGTCAGTGTATACAGTAGTGTGTGTGTATATCAATGTATGTGTGTGTATTTGTATCAATGTATATAGTAGTGGATGTATATCAGTGCGTGTGTGTAGTTGTGTCAGTGTATATCAGTGCGTGTGTGTAGTTGTCAGTATACATCAGTGTGTAGTTGTGTCAGTGTATATCAGTGTGTAGTTGTGTCAGAGTATATCAGTGCGTGTGTGTAGTTGTGTCAGTGTATAGTTGTGTCAGTGTATATCAGTGTATAGTTGTGTCAATGTATATCAGTGTGTGTGTAGTTGTGTTAGTGTACATCAGTGTGTGTGTGTAGTTGTGTCAGTGTATATCAGTGTGTAGTTGTGTCAGTGTATAGTTGTGTCAGTGTGTATCAGTGTATAGTTGTGTCAGTGTGTATCAGTGTATAGTTGTGTGAGTGTATATCAGTGTGTAGTTGTGTCAGTGTATATCAGTGTGTGTGTGTAGTTGTGTCAGTGTATAACAGTGTGTGTAGTTGAGTCAGTGTGTATCAGTGTGTGTAGTTGTGTCAGTGTATAACAGTGTGTATGTGTACTTGTGTCAGTGTGTATCAGTGTGTGTGTACTTGTGTCAGTGTGTATCAGTGTGTGTGTAGTTGTGTCAGTGTGTATCAGTGTGTGTGTAGTTGTGTCAGTGTGTATCAGTGTGTGTGTAGTTGTGTCAGTGTATAACAGTGTGTGTGTGTAGTTGTGTCAGTGTGTATGTAGTTGTGTCAGTGTGTGTGTAGTTGGTCAGTGTGTGTGTGTAGTTGTGTCAGTGTGTGTGTGTAGTTGTGTCAGTGTATAACAGTGTGTGTGTAGTCGTGTCAGTGTGTATCAGTGTGTGTGTAGTTGTGTCAGTGTATAACAGTGTGTGTGGGTAGTTGTGTCAGTGTATAACAGTGTGTGTGGGTAGTTGTGTCAGTGTATAACAGTGTGTGTGTGTAGTTGAGTCGGTGTATAAGTGTGTGTGTGTAGTTGTGTCAGTGTATAACAGTGTGTGTGTGTAGTTGTGTCAGTGTATAACAGTGTGTGTGTGTAGTTGTGTCAGTGTATAACAGTGTGTGTGTAGTTGTGTCAGTGTGTATCAGTGTGTGTGCAGTTGTGTCAGTGTATAACAGTGTGTGTGTGTAGTTGTGTCAGTGTATAACTGTGTGTGTGTAGTTGTGTCAGTGTGTATCAGTGTGTGTGCAGTTGTGTCAGTGTATATCAGTGCGTGTGTGTAGTTGTCAGTGTACATCAGTGTATAGTTGTGTCAGTGTATAACTGTGTATCAGTGTGTAGTTGTGTCAGTGTGTATCAGTGTGTAGTTGTGTCAGTGTATAACTGTGTATCAGTGTGTAGTTGTGTCGGTGTATAACTGTGTATCAGTGTGTAGTTGTGTCGGTGTATAACTGTGTATCAGTGTGTAGTTGTGTCAGTGTATAACTGTGTATCAGTGTGTAGTTGTGTCGGTGTATAACTGTGTATCAGTGTGTAGTTGTGTCGGTGTATAACTGTGTATCAGTGTGTAGTTGTGTCGGTGTATAACTGTGTATCAGTGTGTAGTTGTGTCAGTGTATAACTGTGTATCAGTGTGTAGTTGTGTCAGTGTATAACTGTGTATCAGTGTGTAGTTGTGTCGGTGTATAACTGTGTATCAGTGTGTAGTTGTGTCGGTGTATAACTGTGTATCAGTGTGTAGTTGTGTCGGTGTATAACTGTGTATCAGTGTGTAGTTGTGTCGGTGTATAACTGTGTATCAGTGTGTAGTTGTGTCGGTGTATAACTGTGTATCAGTGTGTAGTTGTGTCGGTGTATAACTGTGTATCAGTGTGTAGTTGTGTCGGTGTATAACTGTGTATCAGTGTGTAGTTGTGTCAGTGTATAACAGTGTGTAGTTGTGTCGGTGTATAACTGTATCAGTGTGTAGTTGTGTCGGTATATAACTGTGTATCAGTGTGTAGTTGTGTCAGTGTATAACTGTGTATCAGTGTGTAGTTGTGTCAGTGTATAACTGTGTATCAGTGTGTAGTTGTGTCAGTGTATAACAGTGTGTAGTTGTGTCGGTGTATAACTGTGTATCAGTGTGTAGTTGTGTCGGTGTATAACTGTGTATCAGTGTGTAGTTGTGTCAGTGTATAACTGTATCAGTGTGTAGTTGTGTCGGTGTATAACTGTGTATCAGTGTGTAGTTGTGTCGGTGTATAACTGTGTATCAGTGTGTAGTTGTGTCGGTGTATAACTGTGTATCAGTGTGTAGTTGTGTCGGTGTATAACTGTGTATCAGTGTGTAGTTGTGTCAGTGTATAACTGTGTATCAGTGTGTAGTTGTGTCGGTGTATAACTGTGTATCAGTGTGTAGTTGTGTCGGTGTATAACTGTGTATCAGTGTGTAGTTGTGTCGGTGTATAACTGTGTATCAGTGTGTAGTTGTGTCGGTGTATAACTGTGTATCAGTGTGTAGTTGTGTCGGTGTATAACTGTGTATCAGTGTGTAGTTGTGTCGTGTATAACTGTGTATCAGTGTGTAGTTGTGTCAGTGTATAACTGTGTATCAGTGTGTAGTTGTGTCGGTGTATAACTGTGTATCAGTGTGTAGTTGTGTCGGTGTATAACTGTGTATCAGTGTGTAGTTGTGTCGGTGTATAACTGTGTATCAGTGTGTAGTTGTGTCGGTGTATAACTGTGTATCAGTGTGTAGTTGTGTCGGTGTATAACTGTGTATCAGTGTGTAGTTGTGTCGGTGTATAACTGTGTATCAGTGTGTAGTTGTGTCGGTGTATAACTGTGTATCAGTGTGTAGTTGTGTCGGTGTATAACTGTGTATCAGTGTGTAGTTGTGTCGGTGTATAACTGTGTATCAGTGTGTAGTTGTGTCGGTGTATAACTGTGTATCAGTGTGTAGTTGTGTCGGTGTATAACTGTGTATCAGTGTGTAGTTGTGTCGGTGTATAACTGTGTATCAGTGTGTAGTTGTGTCGGTGTATAACTGTGTATCAGTGTGTAGTTGTGTCGGTGTATAACTGTGTATCAGTGTGTAGTTGTGTCGGTGTATAACTGTGTATCAGTGTGTAGTTGTGTCGGTGTATAACTGTGTATCAGTGTGTAGTTGTGTCGGTGTATAACTGTGTATCAGTGTGTAGTTGTGTCGGTGTATAACTGTGTATCAGTGTGTAGTTGTGTCGGTGTATAACTGTGTATCAGTGTGTAGTTGTGTCGGTGTATAACTGTGTATCAGTGTGTAGTTGTGTCGGTGTATAACTGTGTATCAGTGTGTAGTTGTGTCGGTGTATAACTGTGTATCAGTGTGTAGTTGTGTCGGTGTATAACTGTGTATCAGTGTGTAGTTGTGTCGGTGTATAACTGTGTATCAGTGTGTAGTTGTGTCGGTGTATAACTGTGTATCAGTGTGTAGTTGTGTCGGTGTATAACTGTGTATCAGTGTGTAGTTGTGTCGGTGTATAACTGTGTATCAGTGTGTAGTTGTGTCGGTGTATAACTGTGTATCAGTGTGTAGTTGTGTCGGTGTATAACTGTGTATCAGTGTGTAGTTGTGTCGGTGTATAACTGTGTATCAGTGTGTAGTTGTGTCGGTGTATAACTGTGTATCAGTGTGTAGTTGTGTCGGTGTATAACTGTGTATCAGTGTGTAGTTGTGTCGGTGTATAACTGTGTATCAGTGTGTAGTTGTGTCGGTGTATAACTGTGTATCAGTGTGTAGTTGTGTCGGTGTATAACTGTGTATCAGTGTGTAGTTGTGTCGGTGTATAACTGTGTATCAGTGTGTAGTTGTGTCGGTGTATAACTGTGTATCAGTGTGTAGTTGTGTCGGTGTATAACTGTGTATCAGTGTGTAGTTGTGTCGGTGTATAACTGTGTATCAGTGTGTAGTTGTGTCGGTGTATAACTGTGTATCAGTGTGTAGTTGTGTCGGTGTATAACTGTGTATCAGTGTGTAGTTGTGTCGGTGTATAACTGTGTATCAGTGTGTAGTTGTGTCGGTGTATAACTGTATCAGTGTGTAGTTGTGTCGGTGTATAACTGTGTATCAGTGTGTAGTTGTGTCGGTGTATAACTGTGTATCAGTGTGTAGTTGTGTCGGTGTATAACTGTGTATCAGTGTGTAGTTGTGTCGGTGTATAACTGTGTATCAGTGTGTAGTTGTGTCGGTGTATAACTGTGTATCAGTGTGTAGTTGTGTCGGTGTATAACTGTGTATCAGTGTGTAGTTGTGTCGGTGTATAACTGTGTATCAGTGTGTAGTTGTGTCGGTGTATAACTGTGTATCAGTGTGTAGTTGTGTCGGTGTATAACTGTGTATCAGTGTGTAGTTGTGTCGGTGTATAACTGTGTATCAGTGTGTAGTTGTGTCGGTGTATAACTGTGTATCAGTGTGTAGTTGTGTCGGTGTATAACTGTGTATCAGTGTGTAGTTGTCTCGGTGTATAACTGTGTATCAGTGTGTAGTTGTGTCGGTGTATAACTGTGTATCAGTGTGTAGTTGTGTCGGTGTATAACTGTGTATCAGTGTGTAGTTGTGTCGGTGTATAACTGTGTATCAGTGTGTAGTTGTGTCGGTGTATAACTGTGTATCAGTGTGTAGTTGTGTGTGTCTCGCGCTGCAGTGGTGGTTGGGTTGTGTACCGGAAGTGGCAGTCTCCCCAGTGGGTGGGCTCAGTGCGCACTTCCGCTCACTCTCTGCCTCAGTGGCGATGCTGCTGTTCAGCTCCGCAGCGGCGAAGAGCGGAGAAGCAGCGGCTGTAACACGCGCTGAGGCTGAGCCGGTGAGTCCGCGTGCCCCCCCCCCCATTGAAATACAGGTAACCGGCAAATAAACACGTCAGTCTCTCTCTCCCTCCTACAAACCTCTCGCAGATGTCTCTCTCTCTCCTCGCTGCAACGTCAGGCTGGTGAGGGCAAACATATTTACCTTGGCGGGACGAGGAGAGAGGCTGCTCCGCTTATGGCGGTAAACGAGGTGGCCGCTTTATGTTATAAAACCTCTGGAAGTAAGTTTTGTATGTGTATATGCGCGTGTGCCCGCGACCTGTGTGTAACGTGAAATATAAACAAACCGCCCGCCTCCCCCCGGGCGCCCTTTTCCTTACCTGTGGAAACTGACGTTGGTGTTTTTCTTAAACACCGCCGTGCACCCGTAAGCCGCGCAGCTGGTCGGCATTCTGACCGCGACGTGGCCGAAAGGGTAAAGGCGAAGAGAGAATTTGTGAGAAGCGCGCGGGGTGGTTCTGAGGGAAGGAAAAACAAGAAAAAAACGTCCGAGCTCTCCTACTTCCTTTACCAAGATGGCGGACTCAGAATTGCCAGCGGCTCCAGGAGTCACGTCGCGACGTGTGACGTCAGGGCACGTACACACCCTGACGTACTCTCAAGGGGATCAATGTGTAGCCAGCAAGCTGAGTAGGTCAGGTTAAATACAGAGCAAGACTCCGTCTACAGCTAGGTTGTCCTGGATAATAATCATAATAATAATATTTGCATTTGATATAGTTCCTTATCATTCTATCGAGACGTCTGGAAGGGCTTCAGAGAATATACTGTTAAGTGAATTGACTATATTTTGTGGGCAAAACCCGGCAGCAGATTGTGCACAGCAGTGTCCCTCAAACAGTCGTGGATTGAGTGACCAATATATTTATTTTGAAAGAATTATTACCCCCAAAAAGCAGTCCACCAATTGACTAACCAGTGGGTTCCTACCTTTTGCTAGGTAAACAGAGGCGTGTAGTAAGAAAACCTGCCTAACATTTAGCCCTGTCGGGTATCAAACCCAGGTCTCTCACTTGCGAGGCGAGCGCTCTAACCAATAAGCTACAGGACTCCACAGGAGACAATGAAGGGGAGGGAGGGGGCTCTTGATCTTAGCATTCCTGAGTACCCACCCTGCTGTCTTCCCATTCACAGCGTCAAACTATAACAACATCTTGTACTTCTACTGTGCCTTTGACGTAAATTTTAATGTCTCAAAATGGTTTCCATGTGACGGGGAGTTAAGGAGGGGCATGGTCAAAAAGGTAGGTTTTGTTTTGAAGGGAAGATTGCGGGTGATGGGATTTAGGAGTTGCAGAGGAGAGCATCATAGTGGCTGAGAGTTTGGCTGGACATACAGCAGATGTGAATCTATGGCATGTAAAGGAGGGGGCAAGGCAGGGATGGATCATCAGTATGAGTCTCTTGAAGTTTGTTTATCTTGCTATCTTCATTCCAACCTGTGAGGAGCACCCTCTTCAACACCAGTCAGAATATCTTTCCATCGCAAGATAACTCTGTCTTTTCTGGTGGTTTAGCACTAATTAAAATCAAATTATAATTATTGCATTTGTTGAAGTGCTTTCACACTGGGAGGATGTCACAAAGCCCTGCACAGTGTTTAAAATGACCCACAAGTGACTATCCTCCTTAAGAAGTAAGTAGATCTCCATGGAACTGAACTGGCTCCAAAGTCATGTGCGTGAAAACTGAATGTTGGAATTGGGTCAATGCTTTGATTCTTGAGCCAGGTGGATCTGCAGTACTCCAGGGCACTCTTGGTGCCAGACCAGCTAACCTGAAACGTTGGCAAGATATGGAGGGGCAGACTCGTCAACAGGAACAGGAATTCTTTCCATTCTGTTCCTATTAACCCTACAAGCCAATAATAAGTCCTCAGATGGTCTTATCTAGATAAACAGTGAGAAGCTTGCCGGACAGTGATCTCAGTGGCAAGCTATGTATGTAGTTTTAATCCCAATACACACTGTGGTCTCTAAGCCATTGTTCTCACCAATTTGTACCAAATTCTCTCCGGAATTAGATAAGCAGATGTAAAAAATTTCCATATGTATGTGGCAAATTTTTGTGGAACTCTGTCTGGTTTAAGGTGGGTAAATTTCAGAACAAACCCGTGGAAACACTGCTTCAGTGAGCGACTAGTAAGCTTATGGAACAAGCTCCCCAAGGAGACGGTGGAAGCAGAAAATGTTGTTTGTTTCAAGAACAAATTAGATAGATTACTGCTGGAGGCGTGCTTTGAAGTAGGCAAGGGAGGGAGCGAGACAAAGAGACTGGGTGATGTAGTTCCAAAAGGTGGGGGCAGGGAAGCTGAAGGCCTGACTGCCAATTGTGGGGTTTGCCAGGTGGGAGACATGGAACAAGCTTGCTGAGCGGACAGGTTGATATGAGATTAGCAGGTCACAGAGGTAGGAAGGGGCAAGGCCGTGGAGGGCCTTGAAGGCGAGCAGGATTTTGAGCTCTATCCTCTGGGAGATGGGGACCCAGTGGAGCTGGGTGAGGGTTGAGTGATGATGGGGTCATGGAGCCTGGTACGGGAGAGGACAGGAGCTGCAGAATTCTGGATGATCCACAGCTTATGGAGGGAAGAGTTGGGAAGACCGACACGCAGGGAGTTGGCGTAATCAAGCCTAGATGTATGAAATGCATGAATGAGGGTTTCAGTGGCCTGACGGGAGAGTTAGTGGCGTAGCTGGGTGAGGTGTGGAGATGAGGGAAGGCAAAACATGGCATAGATGTGGGATAGAAAGAACAGTTGAGGGTCAAACAAGATGCCAAGGTTCCTGACTGGCTCAGCGAGGTGCAGTGTACATCCATGGATGGAGATGTTGCCAGAGGTGTGGAAGCACTGACGGGGGCCAATGAGGAGGGCCTCGGTCTTGTTGACAGTTAACTGGAGAAAGTTGGCTCCCATCCAGGATTTGAAGTCCTGACAGACAATCTGTCAGGACCGCACTGAGTACATACTGCGGTAAAGTTGGGTATCATTCACGTACATGTGGAAGTTGACCCCGTGTCTGCGGATGATTTCACCAAGAGGAAGCATGTGGATATTGCAGAGAGGACCAAGGACAGAACACTGAATGAGACCGGGCTGGAGGAGAAGTCATTTGTGGAGACAACAACTTGCATTTATATAACGCCCTTAATGCGGGGTAGCATCGTGGAGAGCTTTAAAGGTAGGATCTGAACCAGTTAAGGACAGAACCACGAATGTTGAGGTGAGAGCAGAGGCGGTGGATGAGGATAGAGTGGTCAATGGTGTACAGTATATAGTTTGGGATACGACAGGTCAAGTGACTGCCAGCATGTTGGAAGGCGAACTAGATAGACCTTGGTCTTCTTTCATCTAGCAAATTTTTATGTTCTTATGTTTGAATACTCTTAAGCCAGCATGTATCAAACCTGATATCTGACTCATGGGAGAAAAACTTCACCTGATGAAAAAAATTTACTGTAAAGTTTTGGCAATTCACCTCAGGAAAGATGTTAAGGCCTTAGAGGAGGTGCAGTGGAGGTTATCGAGAATGATTCCGGGGATGAAGAGCTCCAGATAAGATGAAAGATTGGTGAAGAAAAGGTTGAAGGGGAGTACCCGATAGAGGTGCACAAAATTATGAGGGTTTTTTGTCAGGATGAATAGGAAAACGTTATTTCCCCTGATAGGGGAGTCAGTAACTAAGGTATATTTATAAGAACAGCGAAAGGAGAACTCAGGAAGAATTTTCCACCCGGAAAGTCATTTGGATATGGAATGCCTCGCCATTGTGGCTTTCAAGAGGGAAGTAAACAAATGTATGAAACGGGCTTGAAGGGGTACAGGTATAGGGTGGTGCAGTAGGATTGAATTGTTCTCCTTGCTCTGTGAGGCAGTGCATACTTGATAGGCCAAATGGCCTACTGTGCTGTAGATTTATGCTTCTATGCGCAATGACTGTGCAAAATTAAACACACAATCAGAAATTCTGGAGATCTACAACAGATCAGCTGTTATCAAATTGAAATAATGGTCATTACTGCATATGACATGTTAGCCTATCTTCTCTCTTGAATGCTGATGGTTTTTTGAAAGTTTTATTTTAGATTTCTACTATCCAGTACTTGTGCTATCAGAACCTAGGCAATTGTAGTACTACTATTGTAGTTTCGATTTCCCAGCTAAGAGTTTTTTTGGTTAAAATAATAATTGCATTTTTCAGGTCAGGAGGATAATAATAATAATAATCCTTGCATTTGATATAGCGATTTTCACATCTCCTAGACGTCCCAAAGCGCTTCACAGAATATACTGTAAAGTGAATTGACTGTATGTTTATTTGTGGGTGAACACGGCAGCCAATTGCGCACAGCAATGTCCCACAAACAGTCATGGATTGAAAATGACCAATTTATTATTTTTTTTTGGAGGGATTATTATTAGGCGTGTGGAGTAAGGAAACTTGCCCAAGGATGTCTCAAAACACTTCATTATAAAGTGTAGTGTCTGTATTTTGTAATGGTTGCATTTTCTGTTTTTGTTCCAAACTCTTCTGAAGGTGTTTAACCTATTTTTTATCTTAGACTTTCAAGGTTTTCCTCTTGACTGCATATTTGGTCTTCTTCCCACCACTGCCTTGAGAATAAATGAAATAAATAAGCCTTGCATTTGTTTTAGCTCCTTAACACATCATTGATACATATCAAAGAGATTTATAGAATATATTGCAAAGTGAATTGACTATCTTTTGTGGGTGAAACGTGGCAGGAAATTGTGTAGGGCAGTGTCCCACAAACCGTCGAGGATTGAGTGGCAAAATATTTTTTTTTGAGGAATTATTAACCCTGGAAAACGATCTGTCAATCGAATAACAGCCAGGTTTCTACTTACTACTGAGTAAACAGAATTATACAATACAAAAGGAGGCCATTTGGACCATTGTGTCTGCGTCGGCTCTTTGAAAAGAGCTATCCAATTCAATCCCCCCGCGCTCTCCCCATTGTCCTGCAAACTTGTCCCTTATTGAATCGGCTTCCACCGCCCTTTCATTGCATTCCAGATCTGAACAACTCGTTGTGTGAAAACATTTCTCCTCCCCTCTGTTTCTTTTAAAAACTATTTTAAATCGGCGTCCTCGGGTTATTGACCCGTAGAATCGTACAGCACAAAAAGAGGCCAATCGGCCCATTGAGTTTGTGCCGGCTCTTTCAATAGAGCAATTAATGTCAGTCCCACTCCCCAGCCCTTTCCCCATGACCCTGCAAACCCGTCCTCCTCAAATACATCCGCCAGTGGAAATAGTTCACCCTATCGATTCCCTTCATAATTTTGAAAACTTCTATTAAGTTTCCTCTTAACCTTCTCTGCTCCAAGGAGCATAATCCTCGCTTCTCTATCTTCTCCTGATAGCTGAAGTCCCTCATTCCTGGTACCATCCTAATAATAATAATAATAATAATCCTTGCATTTGATATAGCGCTTTTCACGTCAGGAGGACGTCCCAAAGCGCTTCACAGAACACACTGTAAAGTGAATTGACTGTATATTTGTGGGCGAACGCGGCAGCCAATTGCGCACAGCAATGTCCCACAAACAGTCGTAGATTGAAAATGACCAATTTATTATTGTTTTTGGTTTTGGAGGGATTATTATTAGGCGTGTGGAGTAAGGAAACTTGCCCAAGGTTTCGCCCTGACCTGCCTGGAATTGAACTCAGGTCTCTCACTTGCAAAGCCAGTGCTCTAACCACTGAGCT